TTTTTTTTTTTTTTTTTTTTTTTTTTTTTTTTTTTTTTTTTTTTTTCATGGCTGCAGGGTCGCAGCTTAGGCCGCAGCCGGGGGGGATTCATAGGCGGCGCACGTGCGCACAAGTTGTTGTCGGACATCGGGACAGCGGGTCCGTGGTGCGAGGATATTATTGTGCGGGCGAGAGTGGTAGTGCATTTCATAAAAATGCACGGCCGAGCGCATTTCCTATTTAGGAGAGAGAGTCGCCATCTCGAGTTGTTTTACGCGTGCGAGACTCGACTCACATCTGTCTACATGATGTTAGAGCAGATGGATGCTGTCCGGCGTCCTTTGAAGCGGATGGTGGACGGGATTGACTGGTGCAGGGAGCCTTGGGCGACTACATCAACCAGGCAGCATGCGTGCTGGGTGTGGTGGCAAATTCGGCACAACAACTGGTGGGACTACATGGACATCTCACGTGCTGTTATGGAGCTGGTTTATGATCTGCTGCACAAGATGGATCGCGGAGGGCAGTGCATAACGAGAGTGGTTTACTGGGCGGGGCAGTTGGCAGCGGATGTGGAGGCGGTCGTTGCTCCGCTTGACGATGGATTGGCGGACCAGATTTCCAGGCGCGTGCAGGACCACATTGCTCACATGTGTGAGCCTGCACACGTTGTGGCGTACTTCCTCTGCCCGATGAGGAGGTCGATGCAGTATTAGAGCGGCGTGGCGAAGGATGAGGACACGCGGCTTGTGAGGGAGGCAGAGCGGTACATTCCCATCCTGCTTGAAGAAGAAGATATGGGGATCTCCCGATAGGAGGGGGGCGGTTGGAATGAGACAGGATGGAGTATACTGGAATGAAGGTGGCCAAGGGCGATGAAACCCTGGCTTCAGGACAAATAAATGCTGACGGTTGGGCCAGGGGTAGTACATGGAGATCCGGAAAGTGATTTTGGGGTCTGCGACAGTTTTTTCCCCATTTGGGGGGAAATGGAGGCGCAACGATGCCGGGAGCGCTGCACCCGGTTCGCGTTTTCCTACGGCAACTCAGCAGCGAGCGGAGTGGCGTGAGGGAAGAGGATGCGTCACATGGCGATGAAGGGCGACAGGGAACAACGGTGAGAGGAGAGGTGCGAAGGAATGCGGCGCATGACGACGAAGGGTGACGGGGAGCAGCGGCGGCCCGGCGGGCGGAGGCGGGGGGTCGGGGGGGTGAGGACGGCGCTTTGCCAAACCGACGTGTTCGATGACCAAGATTCGATGCTCTGGGGTGAGGTGCTGAGGTGTTGAGAATCCTCCATTGCTTGCTACTTCGCCTCGCTGTTGGAGTCGTCATCAGCTGCTGGACACTCGTGAGGGTTCTCTTCTTGATGATATGCGAATAGGGCGAAATTTCGAAAGGGGCAACGGATTGGCATTGGTGATGATGTCTTCTTTCCTCTTTTCTTCAACAGGGTGGTAAGTGGATATGGACAGATGCTTGAACCCCCTGTGGCGCCTTGCTAACGGGTTTGGTGAGGTGGAGCCACACCGTTTTTTTTGTTTTCTTTTGGGAAACGGAAGATGGCCATCAAAGTTTTCGGTGTTAGCGTTGCTCAGAGCCTAGGTGCTAGTAATGAGAGGTGGTTCTCCTCCCCGAAGATGCTGGGGTTAGGGTTTGAGGGAGTTGTGGTAAGTTGGGGGCTGTTGAAGAAAAAGGGAGATGGATTATTTGATGGATTGTTGCTCTTATCGTTACGCCCTGGATTAGTCCGGAGGTCATAGTTAGGTTCGTGTGGAATAATCGACTGCGTTTATCTCTGTTGATGATAATAATGATTACGTTCTTATGATTAGTTAATCTAGTTTTGAATCCTAATCGAGAGTCCTATGTACCACTGCCAATCGTTGGTGATTCTTTATAGATAGGTTTCTCTCCTTCTCATGCTCTGAAAAGTAATTCTGAAATAATTCCTTAGTGTTGAAATCCCCCATGATTGGTCTAGGTTTCGATTATAAATCCGAAATATTTTTTATAGATAGTTCTTGTCGGATAAATAAACTGGAAATTTTCATAGTTGAAAGTCCTAATTAGGGCAGTTGATGGTATATCTCAATGATAATTTGTATGTCTGCTGTAAAGGTTAATTGTCGATTTGTTTCTTCTGCTTTGTAATTCCCGATTTACGGTCTGAGCGATTTTTTGAACCTTGGGTTCCGGAAATCAGCGTCGAAAGTCCGTTTGGACATCATAATCGATTTCTATTTTGTCGATTTTCAAAGTCATCAAATCGTATATTCGTTTTGAACGATTCTCCATTTCCCGATCTTATATGTACCTCGATGGATTTTCTGATTGCGATGCTAATTAGTTTTTACTTAGTAATTAGTCTTAGCGATTTCTCTATTTTCCAATCTTATCTGTATTGCAATGGATTTTCTGATTTCGATGCTATTTAATTTTTACTTAGTAATTAGTCTCAGCAAGGAGGTCTCAACCTATGATGATTGTGAGATTGGGGTCAGAGGTGCTGGAGTGGACATCTCCTTTTTGGGTTGGAGTCCGATCCTGCGAAGGTTATACAAGGTGGGAGGTGTGATCTTTGAGAGGATAGGAAAGTTTTTAGGGTTTGTCCTTTTTTTGGGCCACGCTGATTTTCGGGTCGGATCAACTATGGCGGTTGAGGAGAAAGGACAAGGTGTATTGATGTCAACAGGGTGAGAGTTGTGAGAGTTGTGAGGGTTGTTCCGCTTGGAGGGGGTGGGGCAGATAGAAAGGGGGATCTTTTGCTCTGTCGGGGCATACTCTAGGGGGTATTGTATGCGACCGAGTGAGCAGGAGGGGTATTCTGGCGGCTGTTTTGAACTGGGGTGGGGAGGTGAGGGCACTGAGGGAGCGCCTCCTCGTGGAGGCAGTAAAACAAATAGGGTGTTGCTTTTGAGGGAGGGGAGTAATCCCTTTGGCTCTTGTGTCCCCCTTTATAAGTATCTGAGACCTCAATAGGCGCGGAAGTTTCCATGGGGGGAGAGGATTGTTTTTTTTTTCCCTCTGTTCCCCTCTCCCGGTGGGAATAGTGGGCGCTGGTAGGCTTACGGTTTTTTCAGGTTTTTGTCGACACCTTTTGAATCTCTAGTTTTAGTCTGTTTTCGGGGGTATGAAAATCTTGAGAGCTTTGTAGGGCTTGAGCTCAGAAGTATTGATCGGGGTTATTTCCTCAGGATTGGAGCTCCTCCCTGCGAGGGCTACACAAGGTGGGATGTGTTGTCCTTGAGAGGGTAGGGCAGGCATTGTGGGATTGTCCTTTTCTGGGTTGTGCTGATTTTCGGGTCGGATCAGTATGGCGGTTGGAAAGAGTGGACAAGGGGTGCTGAATTTAGCAAGATGAGAGGTAGAGAGGGTTGTTTCACTGGGAGGGGGTAGGACAGGAGGAAAGGGGGAACTCCAGCTCTGGGGGGGGCATACTCTAGGGGGAATTGTATGTTGCTGAGGGAGCGGGAATGGCCGTTTAGGGGGTTGTTCTGAACTGGGGCCGGTGTGGTGAGGGGGCACCCTCCGGCGGAGGCAGTTTAAGGACAGAGGGATGTTTTTGAGGGAGGAGTAATCTCCGTAATTTTTTGTGAGTTCTTCATGAATAGTTGAGCTTCGAATAGACACCGGAACCGCCACAAGATGAGGGGTGATGTATCCCTCCCTCCCTCTCGTTTCGTGGGGGTAGAAGGGTTTTTTTCTTCTTTTGTCTGAGTCATTTTTTTCTGAAGGAGGGCAGGGGGGGGCTAGAACCGAAGGATGGGATCTAGTCAGGAGGCTCTCAATAGAGGAATGCCTGTTAGGCAAGTAGGTCAGAAGAACGAAGTTGGGACGACGCAGGCCGGTGCTGGAGCTTTTGCTTTGTGACCTAGGGGGGACTTGAGGCTTGTGAAGTTATGCTGAGGGTGGAAGGCATAACCAGATCGTTCGACGTAGCAGGCGTCGGGGTATTAACCCTGTAACCTGTGTCAGGGGCTTGCCGTTAAGGGAAGTGTCGAGGGAGGAAGGCACTTCCCGTCCGTCAGAACTAGGTTGGTCAGTATTGGGGAAGGTTGCGGTGCCCTGTTTCCCTAGTGTGAAGGGGGTATGAGATCAAGTGAGTTCTAGTACGTGGACTGAAAGCCTGGACAGACCTTGGGGGATGTGCAAGTGTACCCGGAGAAAGGAACGGTGACTTTCTCCGCCGGTCTTCACGGATGGGCGTTCACGCTGACGAATTTCGCGAAGATGGACGCCTCCAAGTTCAATCTGGACGTCAAGAAGATGATGGAGAGGCTTTGGGGCGAGAACTACTTCGATCCGACGACGAAGAAGTGGACGAAGAAGAACATGGGGTCGGCCAAATGCCAGCGAGGGTTTGTGCAGTTCATTTATCAGCCGCTGAAGCAGATTATCACGGCCTGCGTGAACGATAAGAAGGATTCGTTGTGGCCGATGCTTACGAAGCTTGGGGTGCAGCTGAAGGCTGACGAGAAGGAGCTGAGCGGGAAGGCCTTGATGAAGAGAGTGATGCAGACGTGGCTGCCGGTGTCCGACGCGTTGTTGGAGATGATGATTTTCCACTTGCCGTCCCCTGCCACGGCGCAGAGGTATCATGTGGAGAACCTGTACGAGGGTCTGCTGGACGATATGTACGCGAACGCCATTAGGAACTGCGACCCGAAGGGCCCGCTCATTCTGTACGTGTCGAAGATGATTCCCGCGTCGGACAAAGGACGATTCTTCGCTTTCGGGCGTGTGTTTTCGGGTGCCCGAGCATGAAGGTCAGGATCATGGGGCCGAACTACATGCCCGGGCAGAAGAAAGATCTCTTCATGAAGAGCGTGCAGAGGCCTGTTCTATGGATGGGAAGGAAGCAGGAGTCGGTCGAGGACGTGCCTTGCGGCAACAATGTCGCGCTTGTCGGTCTCGATCAGTTCATCGTCAAGAACGCCACGTTGACAGGAGAGAAGGGCGTCGACGCTCATCCCATCCGAGCGATGAAGTTCTCCGTGTCGCCCGTTGCGCGTGTGGCCGTGGACTGCAAGGTCGCGTTGGCCCGGGACCTTCCCAAGCTCGTAGAAGGATTGAAACGCTTGGCCAAATCGGACCCTATGGTTGTCGTCTCGACGGAGGAGTCCGGAGAGCATATCGTGGCAGGAGCAGGAGAACTCCATCTGGAAATTTGCCTCAAGGATTTGCAGGACGACTTCATGGGAGGGGCTGAGATTAGGGTGTCCGACCCAGTGGTGTCTTTCCGGGAGACGGTTTTGGAGAAGTCCTGCCGCACAGTTATGAGCAAGTCGCCCAACAAGCACAACCGGCTGTACTTCGAAGCGCCCCCGCTGGAAGAGGGTCTGGCTGAAGCCGTCAATGATGGCAAGATTGGCCCCAAGGACGACCCCAAGGTGCGGTCCAAGATTCTGGCGGAGGAGTTCAAGTGGGACAACGATCTTGCGAAGAAGATTTGGTGCTTCAGACCGGAGACTACTGGGCCCAACATGGTGGTCGATATGTGTAAGGGAGTTCAGTACCTGAATGAAATCAAGGACTCGGTCATTGCAGGTTTCCAGTGGGCGTCGAAGGAAGGAGCGCTAGCGGACGAGAACATGCATGGTATATGCTTCGAAGTGTGCGACGTTGTCCTCCACGCTGACGCCATCCACAGAGGCGGCGGGCAGGTCATTCCAACCGCAAGGCGTGTCATGTATGCCGCGCAGCTAACGACGAAGCCTCGTCTCTTGGAGCCTGTCTACCTCGTCGAAATTCAGGCACCGGAGCAGGCTCTCGATGGAATCTATGGTGTTCTCAATCAGAAGAGAGGGCACGTGTTCGAGGAGATGCAGCGCCCTGGCACGCCCTTGTACAACATCAACGCGTACCTGCCTGTCATTGAGTCTTTCGGGTTCTCCAGCACTCTCCGCGCCGCCACTTCGGGCCAGGCCTTCATTCAGTGTGTCGTCGACCACTCGGAGATGATGAACAGTGATCCCATGGATGGGACAACCCAATCTGGTGCAATTTTGCAGTCCATCAGGAAGAGGAAAGGACTCAAGGAGCAGCCTACGCCCCTCTCCGAATTCGAAGACAAGCTGTAAGCGGGACAAAGTGCTGGAAACTGGAGAGCGGTCGAAGTGGGACGGGGAGAGTGTATACATACAACCTCCTTGCACTATTTTGATGCTGGTCACGCTGCTTTTTCGTGCACAGTAGAATTATTGTTGTACTCAGGCATGCAGGTTGTTGATATAGAGAGCATTGATTGATAGGATGTCGAAATGAGAGATCAAAGAGGGAAAGAGACCGGAACTAATTCGTGCGGCCGAACCTTTTAGGGTGTTTGATTTTCCTGTTGAGATGTGATGATGCCGCGTTTTACCAGGATAGGTCTGCTCCTATAGCTCTGTATTTTTGTGTGTATATGTGTTTGTGTGTGTGTGTGTGTGTGTGTGTGTGTGTGTGTGTGTGTGTGTGTGTGTGTGTGTGTGTGTGTGTGAGAG